CTCAGCCATAAAAAAGAATGAAATAATGCCCTTTGCAGCAACATGGATGGACCAAGAGATTATCATACTAAGTGAAGTAAGTCAGACAAGGTAAATATTATATGATATCACTTCTATGTGGAATCTAAAAAATAGTACAAATGAACTTATTTATGCAACAGAAACAGACTCACAGACATAAAAGAAAACTTATGGTTACCAAAGGGGAAAGCGGGGAAGGGATAAATTAGGAATTTGGGATTAGCAGATACAAACATTGAGGTCCTACTGCATAGCACAGGGAACTATAATCAGTATCTTGTAATAAACCACAATGGAAAAGAATATGAAAAAGAATGTGTATATATATGTATAACTGAGTCACTTTGCTGTACACCAGAAACTACCACAACATTGTAAATCAACTATACTCCAACAACAAAAAATAGTGGAATCGTCGCATCTCCTTTTGGATGTGTGGCATCTGAATTCCCTCCTGCAAGATACAGAATAGCTCTCAGACTGAATTTCTGAGTTTTACAATACTAACTTTTATAATATAACTGAACAGAATAGGTAATAGAGTCAATTATGGAATCAGATTTGGGGCAAGTTACAAAAATTATCTGAGTCTCGTTCCATCATCTTTAAATTAATAGTAATAAGACTCACCTCGTATACCTAATGTGCAAATTAAATAAGATGATACATGGCAAGAGGCCAGGATGGGACTGGGCCCACAGGAAACCTTCAATGAACTGTCACTATTATGACTGTTTAGTTTGAAAGGAGGCACAGAGACAGTAGCTGTGTGGCCTTCAACAAGCCCCACAGCGTCTCTAATTCTCATTTTTCGACATGAAACACATACTTAATGCTCCATTGAAAGCCATTGTCCTCTTCTGATGGAGTAGGCTAACCCACTAGCTTTAGGAGCCTGGGGTTGAGGATGCCATGGAGGTTCTATTTCTACCATCACTCCTGCTGCCCCGCAGTCTTCCTTGGTTAGTTCTTCAGAGGGAGGCAAGGGTCAGAGCTGAGTGATGCAGAAGACAAGTGGATTTTCCAAGGGAATGGACCTGGGCAAAAAGGTGTGGACCAGAGGTGCAGTCCAGGACCCCTTCAACCATATATTGAGTCCCTGTTTGGGTTTATAGAAGCGTTTGCTGAGAAACGGCATGAGGAGTTGGATAAATGATGACTTCTGAGTTTTAATGAATCTCAAGCAACAGCCCTCTGACCCTACATGGGCAGCTTCTGCTCTCCTGCAGCCAGAGCGGTAACAGCTTCCTTACACCATCTTCGGCTTGCTGGGCTGTGCCCTCTAGTCTTTCTGGATGTTCAAAAATCCCCCAGGAACAGCTCTGGGGATGTCACTGATGCTATATGATAAGATACAGGAATGGAGTTGAGCCACATAGATGCTGTGTATTGGAGTCTTAAGGAGCAAATATATAACACCATTATTTCCAGGTTCAGATATGGGAGTTAGACGCACTCACTAGGAGCAGATATACAGAGATCAAAATATCATCTTTAGGGCTTCCCTGGTGGCGCAGTGGTTGAGAGTCCGCCTGCCGATGCAGGGGACGCGGGTTCGTGCCCCGGTCCGGGAAGATCCCACATGCCGCGGAGCGGCTGGGCCCGTGAGCCGTGGCCGCTGAGCCTGCGCGTCCGGAGCCTGTGCTCCGCAACGGGAGAGGCCACAGCAGTGAGAGGTCTGCGTACCGCAAAAAAAAAAACAAAAAATCATCCTTATTACCAATAAGAGGTGGGTTGGTTTCGATGTTTGCCCACAGACAGCTGCAGGCCAACACACAGGGGCTGTCCCTAGGGGTTTACCACGCAGCTGCATGCAGAAGGTGCCAAGTATGCAGACAGACATATCCTGAAGGGAGCTTGGAAGGAGGGGGCTACCTATGCCAGCTCCCTCTCCCCCATCACCAATCAGATAAGGTGCATCTCCTCCCTAGGGAGGAGGGAGGAGGAATAGGGCAAAGCTGGAAGCGTTTCTACTCTATTGTTTCCCTCGTGAAGAATGGAAGAAATGCCCTCCCCTCCCGGGAAACATGAGGGTGAGGGTGAGGGGTTACTGCTCCCGCCTACCTGGCATGCTGTAGTAATAAACAACCCCCAAAGCTCAAAACTCCGACAACAAAGGTGTATTTCTTGTCAATAGTGCCTGTCCATTATATATCAGCTACAAATCTACCCCGTCTTTTTCACTCTGGGACTCAGGAAGACAGATATTCCTCTACTTGGAATATCACTGTCGCTTGCGGCAGAAGGAAAGGGAATATGGTGCCACAGGTGTTGGCTCCTAAAACTTCTGCCTGGAAGTGACACATCCCACTTCCCTTCACATTCATTGGCGAAAACAAGTCACGTGGGCAAGTCTGATGTCCATGGGGCAGGGAGATAAAATGCCTTCCTCCCTCTCAGGGAGGGGCATCCCATATTTGAAACAATAATACAGTCTCCTTTACCTCCTTCCAGTGAGAATAGGGGAGATCTGGCTGGATGAGCACAAATAATTCTGCTCTGATAAGGAAGGTGGAAACTTTCTATGGTAACAGGTAAATAGCTGGTGACCTACCAGGAAAGTATATCTGATATTTTATGAACTGCTGTACTTGGCAATTAGTCTGTAGGTCATGGGCAGTAGATAGGTAATTGTGAAGGGCCTTGAACAGCACTTTCCAAAACCAGGACACTAACCAGGGAAAAAGGTTGGATATCAGGTAGCTTGGGGATCCTGGGCGTGGAAGAAAGAGGCAGAGGAATAGCTCGTTAACAAGATGGCATTATAGCTGGAGCTTGGGCAAGGACGTAGGACGGGCCTTCTCTTTATAAGGACAGGGACTTCCCTGGAGGTCCAGTGGTTAAGACTCCACGTTTCCACTGCAAGGTGCATGGGTTCGGTCCCTGGTTGGGGAACTAAGATCCCACATGCCTTGCTGTGTGGCCAAAAAAAAAAGGTTTTGAGGACGGGTACAGAACAGTATTGAGTGTTGGGTGGCTAAGTTGGAAATGAGATACGATGTGAAGGAATCTCAGGGGCTTAGAGAGGGGCAAGGCTTGCAGCTGTTGTCCGGGGGGCTTGGGGTGGTCCTTGATCTTCGAGTAGGAACACGGGTGGAAGCACATGGGCCACAGCCACCAAAAATCTCCATCAGCCACATACAGGGCTTTGAATGGGCAGCAGTGGCTGCAAAGGGGGATGACTGGACCCAAGAGAAACAATTGGATCAAGTGTTCCTTGGTCCTCCCTAACCTGCCCTAATAGTTCAAACCCCCTTTTTCTTCTCCAGGGGCCAGACCACCCCCCAATTCACCCAATAAATTATCCAGCAGCCCCTGTCGCCAAGCCACAGGGTCAACTGGAGCCCAAAACAGAGGGGAAAGTGTCTTTTTTCCAATTCTCCTTATTTTATTCCACTTACATAGGGATCTACCACCATCCACTTGGGGTGTAGGGTGGGATTAAGGAAGGATGGATTGAGGATGTTTTTGCTTTTATGACTCTTCAAATAAAGTGTTTTTTTTTTTAAGGTTGTGGAATGCTTGCTTTAAAAATGTTTGCTGTCTAGTGAAAATTTTTTTTTAAATCTAACACAATTTCTGATTCTGTTCACCGGATTGGCTAAGGTTTCCATCTTTTTCCTGCCCCTGCCCCGTGCTGGGCCCTTCGAGCTGATGTTTCCCTTTTAAGAGGCACAGTTCCTGTAGATCTGCTTTTTTAGATGGTGGGAATAAACACCTCCCCTCCCCATGCCCATACTTGCAATAATGAATCCAGATTCTGTGAATTTAGAGGAAAAGAATTCACAAAACACAGAGGAGCTATAAGGCTTGCATGTGTGTGGTGGGTGAAGGAATCCCATCCTTTTCCCAGACCAGAGCACAGCTCGTGTGTGTGTGTGTGTGTGTGTGTGTGTGTGTGTGTGTGTGAACATCTGAACTACACTTGCACAGAGCCCTTCCCTCAGGCCCCCCTGCAGGCCTCCCTGAGTCACAGCCCCGCCTTCCCAAAGAGTTGCCCCAATTTGCATTATAAGGCAAAACTGAGGTTTCTGACTTCTCTTCCTAAAGCTGCAGGAAGTAGACTCAGCTGGTGCTGAGAGGCGTGGCCTGGGGTCACATTTACACCTTGACTCAGGGAGTCTTCTTGGAAAACAGGTCCCAGAGGGTGCTCTTTTTCAGCTGCCTCTCGGTGATAAGTGGTGAGGGGTTGCCCCGTGCTGCCCGGTGCTGCCTGGTGCTTGGCCCAACATGACTGCCTGCTCTGCCCATTGCCTGGGGTCAACGGACTACATGCCCTTGGCCTTGGAGTCACCTCAAGAGGCTTCTTGTGGGCGACAGTAGAACCGAGAGAGGTGCCATGGGCGGGGCCACAGCAGATGCGGGGAATGCTGTGAGGCAGGCAGAGCCCAGTGAGTCAGGGCAGGTGTGCAGGTTGGGAAGTTCCAGGAAGGGAGTAAGGGTCACAGCAGGAAGCGCCCTGGCCTGGGAGTAGAATCAGGTGGCAGGGAGTCTGGGGCCGAAGAGTTGGTGCTCCAGGGAGGCAGATGTCCAGGGTCAGGGAGACCTGCAAGGCTGGGTTAGGACCAGGCCCTCAGGACCCGAGGCAGGACCCTGGAGCTGAAAGATCTGGGGAGCTGAGCTCAGAGCCAAGTCCGCTGCTCAGGTACAAGACCATAATTGGGTCCGGATATAAAATAAAGCCCCAATCCTGAGGAACAGGACAAGGGCTCAGTCACCAGATCCCTGAGTCACCAGAACCTTGAAGCAACTGGCTCAAGGCTGTCGGAATTAGCATGGCCTAGAGCACAAGGGATTCCAAAGTCTGGGTCATGGTTGAGTGTGACTGTGGTCCTGCTGACCCATGAGGCATGAACTGATCTCCGGGAAAACCACGAGATCCCTGCCTGCCTATCTTTGAATAACCCCTCACCTGCTTTCTGTTGCATCTTCCCCTCCCCGAGCCCTACCAGGTAATCAGATAGGGCGGCCACCTGACCATGTCACAACTTCCCACGCCCTCGGCACCTTGTACACGCCCTCGGCACCTTGTACCCACCCAAATGTTCTCGGAAGGTCCCGCCTGCTTTGGAAGCCCCACCAACTTCCCATTCAACCCCAGTCATCCCATCCTTGAGGCAATAACCTTCTTTGTCCCAGTTTCCCCATCTCTGACATACAAAAAGTATTACCTTGGTGAAGCAGATGAGTTGGAGGGGAAGCCTGGAGTCATGGATGCCATCAGAAGTAAGGTGAAGATGATGGTGTTGGGAGGAGAGAAAAGGCAGATGTGAGATATGTCATCAGAGCTTTAGGCACCACCTAAATTAGGGAAAGGAGAGGGGAACACACAGAAGTGACACTAAGATTTTGAACACAGGGATGACGGTCCTGCACACATTTTCCTGCTGTCGCTTTGAATTTTAGCTTTCACTAATTTTGTTTTCCTTTTGTCTAGTGTGGAGAAGTCTGAAATCTGCACGAGGATGAAGTGGAAAGAGCACCGGGCTCGGCACGGAGGGTGTGGGCACTGCATCCTCCCAGACTGGCTGCATGTTTTCATGTTTCATTCTTTTACCTATAAAATGGGGAAAGATCGCCTTCATCACCTATTCCAAGGGAAATAATGTAAATGAAATATTTGTAAACTATGCAAAGTAAGTGTAAGGTGTTACGTGCAGATAATTGCCAGCTCACTCCCCCACAAGCGTTCTCCTGTCTCAAGGGCTTTGTGGCTTCCCGCGTCTCTCATGAGGGGCCCGAGTTTCACCTTCTTTGCTCCTACCGCCACCCTGTGGCCACTTTGAGAATTGCATGCTACAGTTAGGGATGCTAAGCAAGAAGGAAAAAAATGACAAGTTTACAAATAGAAAAGTTTTTGTTAAGTCTTTCCAAGTTAGTTAATAAATTCAACGCATTGCCAATCAAAAGCTCCTAATAGGTTTATTCTAAACTCCTATGGAAGACTGAATGGGCAAGAATAGTCAAGACAAATTTGAAAAATAGGAATAAAGAGGGGGAGAAAAATATGTTAGAAAACTATAGTTATACAAACTGGGATATTGTCACAAGAGTAAGTAGATGGATCAGTGTATCACAATGGAAAATCCAGAAGGATCTTTGCATATATGGGAATTTAGCATACAATAAAGATACTATTTTAAATAAAAGGGGGAAGAATTCAATAAATGGGATTAAGACAACTGACTGCCCATTAAGACCTAAATGACACTGTCATAAAACATACTTCTAAAGGAATTGTAGATCTAAACTTACAAAACACAATTATATAGTATTAAAGGAAAATATTTGGGGAGTAACAAAGACTTCAAAAAATTTTAAAACACACAAAACAAAACCATAGCCTAAATGATTGATAAAATTGATTTCATCAACATTCTAAAACTTCTGTTCATTAAAAGAGTGTAAACAAAGTTAAATAAGTGAAAGTATGAGAGAAGAATTTTGCAACAAATGAATATTATATAAAGAAAATCCTACAAATGAATTTTTAAATGACTCAAAACAGGAGCAAAGTATAAAAACAAGCAAGTCAAAAGAAAAGCAAATGGTCAATAAACTTATGAAAATATTCACTTAATAATCCAAGAAATGCAAAGTAAAACAATTATCATGTCATTTTCACCAATTCGACTGCAAAAATTGAAAACCTTTAACTGTCAGAGAGAGTCTGGGGAAAGGACACTCATTTTGTGTTGGTGAATAGTGTAATTATTCAATAAACTATGCTATATCTATATTGTGCACAAATGGAAAAGGATGAGGGAGGTCTTAGTGCATGACATAGTGCAATCTCTGGATGTGTTGAATGAAAAATCACATTGACATGAAATACATATAGTACGATACTATTAATGTGAACCATTATAAACACTACAGATTTTCTATGGATGCCCATGGGCATGTGTGTATGTACGTGTAGGTATGCACAGGCAAAATGTCCCACCAGATGTTCACCAAACAAAATATGGTAGTCACCTTTGGAGAGGAGATGGGAATTGAGGTGCTGGTCAAACGGGACGCTAGCCTTAACTTTCATGTTTTAAAAGGATGAATTATTTGTGTAATTAGAGACTTATTTAAAGAAGAAACTGACTAACGTGCTAGATGGTATTTTCCAAAGATGGCCACAACGATATGTCCAATCCCTCCTGCTCTTGGCAATGTGAACTTGCCCATCCCCACCTCCATCAGCTTTCAAATATCAGAGCTGGCATCCAAAGCCAGATAACCTAGATGACATCCAAGCTAAGCCTATGACCACTATCCAACACTGCTCTGGCTAATTAACCCTTACAACGATCCTATAAGGTAATACTGCTAACATACCCATTTTACAGAAGAGGAAGCTGAGGCTCATCCAGGAATTACAAATAGCAAAGAGCTAGTTAAGAAAAGAAAGAAGAAAGAAAATCTTATGGAAAAATATTCAGTCATCTCATCTATAATCAAGGAGATAAAACTAAAACAAAAATAACATTTGATGTCATTCTTAAACCATTAAAACTTTTAAAAAAGAATAATGTTTATTGCCATAAAATTTGTATATGCATACATTACGGGTGAAAGTGCAAATAAACACAATACTTTGAAAAGCATTTGGGCAGTGTATATCATGAATCATAATGTGTTTCAAACACATAATGTGTTTCAATTTCAATCTACTTCTGGGAGTTTATCTTATAGAAATAATACAAAAGAATAAAAATGTTTTCACACCAAGACATTCATTGCAACATTATGCATATACTTAGAAAAAAACCCTTTTGGATTTAGTATTTGTATGTCCTCTGTTTCCCCCTGCTTTTTAAATGTCTTTAAATGATTAACTGAAATATATCGTTATAAAAAAAGTAGAACACCACATTTATTTATGGAAATTATATTAATAAATTCCCATGGGAAAATGCCAGGAGAAATTACTCAAGAATAATCATAGCTTTGTGAGAGTGTTGGGGTGAACTTTATTTTCAAGATGCTTAGTAATGTTCTCATCCAGTTTAAAGATTTATTTTATTTATTTATTTATTATTTTTTTACAGTAGCACCTTGTTGTTTATCCATTCTATATATAAAAGCTTACATCTGCTAACCCCAAACTCCCACTCCATCCCTCCCCCAACCCTCTCGCCACTGGCAACCACCAGTCTGTTCTCTATGTCCGCGTAGGACAAAACTGTTATGATGCTTGTCTGTCTGCCAATCTCTTTTCCTAAATCATAGTTTTTGCCTTAAAGAGGCTGGGCCAGGAAATCCCACCCTACAGTCTGGCACAGGATGGGTTTCTTCCTGCCACTGGGTATGATGCCGGCAGGCAGTAAAGCATCAGGCCATCCAGAAGCTTGTGGGCTCCTCCCCTGTGCCCACGGAGGGGAGTCAGTCCTGGAATGTCCACGGTCCCCAGTCCCAGTCCTGCATGCCTGGCATTCTTCATCATCCAGGCCTGTCTGCTGGCAGCCGAGGTCCTTGACAGTTGGTTCATCTGCAGTGGAGTTTAAAGCCAATGTCTGCAACTACAGTATTCTGCTATCTAGATTGAGGATTAACACCTCTATTGATTTGATGGGGAAAATGGCTCCGAAATCCCCCTTGACAAGCTCTCTCTTTATCAAGAAACCACTCCGATCTCACCCACTTAGCAATTCACAGTAAGCGCCTATATGAACTGAAATTAGCCAGCTCCCAACCTGCCCGCTCTGTCCAACCCCAAGAGACAAGGTAGCAATAACTCAAGCCTGGAGCCTCACCCTCACCCCAAGGGCCTGGAATGAATCTGGAATGAAGCTCATAAAACCCAGGCCCGCTTTCAGAACCCTTATTACCAGGAGATAACACGTCTCCACATTCACTCCTACTGGCCTCCAATCCGTTCTCCGCAGAGAGCTGGAAGAGGTTTTTAAAAGACCCTCTGGTGGCTCCCATCACACAGACAATAGAAAATCACCCAGGCCCAGCCTCCATGGCCACCCAGCCTGCACCCCCCACCTTTCCCGCCAAGCATTGGCACTTTTCCCAGCCTCTGCTGGGGACACCCTCCTCCAGAGTGACCCACGCCTCCTGGTTTGTCTGGCACTTTCCTCTGGCACTCAAGAAACCTCTCAGTCCCCAGCAAACCCAAACCGTGGATCAGACCGCTTCCCCACCCAACCCCACACGTCTAACTGGCCACACCCAGGCTTCTGGAAGGTCTTAGCCCAAAAGTCACTTCTCAGAAAGGCCGGACCCTTCCCCAGCTACTCCCCTGGCATCTGAATTGGGTCCTCATTGCTATTCTCTCTCGTGACACTGTTTTTGGTTGAGGGCACTTACGGAAATTATTTACTGTTTCATTCACCATCATTAATTGAGGACCTAGGTGCTATTGTTTTATGGGCTGGGGATACAGCAGTAAACAAAGCAGACAGAAGTCCCTAACTTCAGAGAGCTTACATCCTACAGGAAGAAACGGTATGATTTTTAGAGGCAAACTATATAGAGTGATCAGTGTGACAGAGAAAAAGAAAGCAAGAGGGGAAAGAGAATGTCAGGGGTGGCGTCCTCAGTCTTAGACAGGGCTCCCAGGGAAGTTACATCTTGATCACAAAAGATGAGGAAGTGTCTTTGTTCCCATCCTGCCAGACCTACTAGAGAAGGGACTTGAGGACACGGGGTGGGGGAAGGGTAAGCTGGGACGAAGTGAGAGAGTGGCATGGACATACATACACTACCAAATGTAAAACCGATAGCTAGTGGGAAGCAGCCGCATAGCACAGGGAGATCAGCTCGGTGCTTTGTGACCACCTAGAGGGGTGGGATAGGAAGGGTGGGAGGGAGATGCTAGAGGGAGGAGATATGGGGATATATGTATATGTATAGCTGATTCACTTTGTTATGAAGCAGAAACTAACACACCATTGTAAACCAATTATACTCCAATAAAGATGGTTAAAAAAAAAAAAAAACGATGAGGAAGAAAAACTCGGATTCCTGGGAGTAAATATTCCAGACAGATGGAACAAAACGTGCAAAGGCCCTGAGCAAAGAACAGTGAAGAAGCCAGAGTAGCCAGAGCTGACAGGTGAGAGGAACGTGAGTTGAAAGTGAAGGCAGAGAGGTAACAGAGGTCTGACCCTGTGGGACCCAGTAGGTCCCTGTAACTCATGTGGCTTTTATACTGCATGAGATAGGAAGCTACAGCTGGGTTTGGTCTGCCTTGGGATTTAACCGGGGTGCTCTGACAAACACTTGTTAGGAGGCTTTCAAAAGATTCCAGGGAGGGTTTCCTTGGTGGCGCAGTGGTTGAGAATCTGCCTGCCAATGCAGGGGACACGGGTTCGAGCCCTGGTCTGGGAAGATCCCACATGCCGCGGAGCGACTGGGCCCAGGAGCCACAATTACTGAGCCTGCGCATCTGGAGCCTGTGCTCTGCAACAAGAGAGGCCGTGATAGTGAGAGGCCCGCGCACCGCGATGAAGAGCGGCCCCCGCTCGCCGCAACTAGAGCAAGCCCTCGCACAGAAACGAAGACCCAACACAGCAAAAGTAAATAAATAAATAAAATTAAAAAAAAAAAAAAAAGATTCCCGGGGGGTGGGTTAAACGAGGGTAGTAGTAGCAGAGTTGATGAGAAGTTATTTAATTCTGTATGTATTTTGAAGGTACAGCTGAAAAGATTTTCTTCTCAGTTGGATATGGGTGGGAAGGAAAGAAGAGTCAAGATGACTCCAATAGCACTGAGAGAAGGATGGTGGCTCCATTCACTGAGGTGGAGCCTGTGGGCAGCAGGTTGGCGGGGGTGGAGATCAGTTCTGAACGTGTTGACTTTCAGATGATTAGGCATCAAGTAGAGAATTAGATGCATGAGTCTGGGGGTCGAGAGAGAGTTGGGCTGGACATACACACTTGGGAATATTTAGAGTCGAGACTGTATTTAAAGCCATAACACGGTGGGTGAAATCACTAAGTGAGCTAAGTGTAGACAGAAAAGAGGAAAGGTCCAAGGACTAAGGTCTAGGACCGTCCACATTTCGAGGCTGGGGAAGTGAAAGGGAGAACGCTGGTCAGAATGATGGAAACAAACAGGCAAACGTGTGTGTCCCGGAGGCTCACTGAGGGCCACAACGGTGCCAAATGCTGCTGTTTTGTCAAATGAGAGGTCTGAGAAATGACCTTTGCATCTAGTGTTGTAACAGTCATTAGATTTGTTAAGGGCAGTTTCAGTAGTGTCTTTGGGCTAAGCCTGATCTCCAGAACCTCAGTGACAGCCATCCACTGGATGGATCTATTGGGACCCAGAGCATCCATGTCAATGCCTTTCGAGGTGTGGTCAGCATCCAAGTCAACAATGTTTTGAATGAGTGGGATGGAATCTTGGACTACGAGAATGTAAGATGTGGAACACGTTCATTATAAATGCCAGAGAAAGCCTTGCCTGCTCCAACATTTTGCCTTTTGCTTTTCCAGAGAGAAGAGGACCCTGTCTACATAGACATTCTCTAGGTTTAGGATCTTGAGGGAATACATCTCTTTAGATAAGGGACCAGCTTTCTTGCATTTTCAGTGACTTCTTTTTGAGCCAGTGACCGCAGTAGGAACTTCTGTGATCTCTAGGGATCCCACATCGTTTTGTGTTCGTCTCCTGTGTTGACTTCACAGGGCTCCTGAAGGCCTCTGAAATAAGAGAGCCATTTCAAGAACGCAGATTTCTTATAACTGGTATGTGCTATGGAGGTCTTTTGTCTTGATCTCAGATTTTAATCAGTTTATTTCAAAAGCAGGTGAATAATTTATTTTCACTTTTAGAAACCTTGCTTCCACTTGCCCAGATGGTTGGGTGTGGTGAGGTATGACCTGGCAGAAAAAGGCAGGATTGGGAAGGGACACCTCCCTGATAGAAAAGCTCTATAACCAGAGATATGGCTCAGCCTTTGTGCACCTCAGTTTCCTCATCTGCCAAGCAGAATCAACAGCTGTCTTTCCTACCAGAAAGGACTCTGAGAGGATTAAATGAAGGAAAAGGCCACACTCCTTACTCCCTGGATGGGCTTCTGCTGTCCAGCCCCTGCTGTTTGGAAGCTCCCCTCCTACTTGCACACTGGACATCTCAGGACAGACCCCGCAAGCACAGGCTTTCATTCTGCGCCTGCCTGGGCCTCCCATGCTCTCCTTCCCAAACGCCATCCCCCTCACTCTTCACCTGACCTGCTCCTGATTTCCTGGAGGACACGCTTCCTGAGTCCTCCTTAAAGGGATGCAGTCCAGGGATTTCCAACTCTGTTTTAAGCCACAGAGACTTTTCTTCCAATGAAAGATGTCACAAAATGCCACTCTATGGAATGGAAGTCAGAACTGCTCTGGCTGGCGGAGGGAGGTGGGCTCAGTCAGACTCAGCTGGAGAACCTCGGCTTTACTGCAAAACTCAGAGAGGCTGAAGGTCAGGTCCAGGGCCACGTAAGAGGTGGTCAGTGGCAGACCCAAAGCCAGGATCTGAGTCTAGAGGTCTGGACCGAGGCCTCTCCTCACCCTGTACCTCCAGAGAGCACTCTATCTCACACACTGGCTTCACAAGCAGGCAGTATCTTGTCTCATCCTTTCATGGCATCCCTGTGGGAGAGGGTCTACTTTACAGATGGGGAAGCTGAGGGTCATGGAGGCGGCTGAGGGCCATGAACAGGACCTTAAATTCGGCTTTCTTTCTGGGGCTGACGCCCTACCCCTCCACTCCCACCAGTCTGTTAAGGGTATGCAGAGTGCCCCGGCGGATACCTTCCCGTGGTGCCTGCAGCAGTGACAGTGCCACGGGCCCTCGGGGGCAGCAGGGCCCTGTGTGCATTGTCAGTCCTGCTGCTGGCGTTTTGCTCTGACGCCCAGGGCCGCGCTATGCCGGGATGCTCAATGCCACAGTCTGAAGGACCAGCTATGGGCAGCACTGATGGCAAGCAGGAGGCCACTATACTGTGACTGAATGAATGACAGGGTTCTGCTGTGTTGCTTTAAGGCCCTTCTGGTGGCTAAGCTGTTTAGCAAGATGGCCTGTGTCTTAGCCAAGATGGATGAAGCTGTCCAAATTTGGATGATATTAGCAAGGCCCTGGACCACCAGGTAAGTGAAACCAGTTCACTGTGGTCCCCTCCTAGTTTGGTGTTTTCCAGCGCTACATCCTGACCTCCTAGGATGGTGCTGTATACACAGGGGAATTCAGTTCATACTTGTTCTTAATGTGCATGAAATTCTATCACCGTGCAAAGGACTCCAAGTTCAGTCCATGGCCCATTTAAATTACATCATATGAATGAAAACTCCATACAATGACATAATTTTAGTTTATTCCAAAAGGGTGTGAGCTACATGTCAGTGAATATAAGTAGTTGAATATAAATATTAGAGTGAACTAATAGAGTCTTTTTATCCTCATGCCCTCTCTCCTCCCCTGCACACCCTTTGCACACATACACACGTGTTATCTTTAGTTTAAAATGAACCCAGACTGCTGGAACTCTCTCCCTCCCAGCCTCTTAAATGACAAGGGCTGTCAAATAAATTAAAAAGCAGCAGGAGGTCCTTGGCAAATCATTGAAATCTGGCATCATTTGCTTAAATAACCCGCCCAGGACATCTGGGCAAAATGAATGTCCATTTCAGGTGGGTTGCTGATTCTTGGGGAAAAAAACGCATTTGGGGTCACATAAAAATAAAACAGGGGCTTCCCTGGTGGTGCAGTGGTTGAGAGTCCGCCTGCCAATGCAGGAGACATGGGTTCGTGCCCCGGTCCGGGAAGATCCCACATGCCGCCGAGTGGCTGGGCCCGTGAGCCATGGCCGCTGAGCCTGCACGTCCGGAGGCTGTGCCCCGCAATGGGAGCAGCTACAACAGTGAGAGGCCCACGTACCCCGCAAAAATAAATAAATAAATAAATAAAAATAAATAAAACAATTTGCCAATTTTTTTAAAGAGAGGTAGAAAGTATTCCCCTCATCTGATTTACAACAAGTAAATGCATGATACAAATGAAACACATAATTTTAGAGATGAGAAAAGCACTGGAGGCTGGAAGAGTTGAGAATTTAAGGGTGCAAGGAGTACAGCGTTACAGGGACACACAGGCTCATACACAGATATTTTTGGAGTAATGTCATCACCTTGTGGTCAGACAGGGTATTGCTGCTATAGACGAAACTCCAGGGCAAGTTCATGGCTCTTTTTGTGCACTGGAATAGGTTTCTCGCTCTTCCTCCTTGCTGCACCACCTCTATCTGCTGTCTCACCATTTTGAAATGCCACCTTTTCCAGGCTTTAAAGCATTATCCATCCACTCGAGGCCTGACCTACACTGTTTTACCCAGCCGGGTCAAGAACTTAGCCCAGTATCAAGTGCCCATCAAGGACGTGTGCCGACAGGTCCCCACCTACTTTGTCCAAGAGCAAAAAGAAGGTGTGTTAATAACTTAACTAGAAACTCAAGACCATGGTTGAGGCAAATGGTGCAGTATGAGTTTTAGGTGCTTAGCAAATTCTAATGACAGTTTTCTGGTCAATTCTATTTCTTTGCTACTGGGTATAAAAATAATGAGCCCCGAAATGCATTTCCCCCTGGTGGCAGTGAAGATTTCCTGATACCAGGGACCACTAAGAACAGGCAGCAGAGTTAACTTGGCTTTACCAGAAGGTTGAGGACTGTCATTTCACCATTGGGATTTGACAGCTGGTGATACTCTCACCTGATCCAAAGTTTCATCCTCCCCTCCCCTCCCCCTGCCCAAGCAGCACTGTGCCTGGCATCCCCCATAGGAGGCCCACTTCTTTGGGGTTCTCAGTCCTCCTCTTTCTCTGGCTGTCCAGATGCTGGGAGGCAGGACCCTGATAGTTATAGACCACATGCTGGGAAAGGAACGCCTCAGTGGCTGGCATCCCTGCTGGGGATATGGCTGGGGGATCAATGGTGACAGGCTTGGAAAGCTACCAGATAAGACTGCAAAATCTGCCTGCTGCTCCAGAGAGAGTCAGTAACCACTTCCTATTAAGCTGTTGCCTGTCACTTACATCTTAGCATAAACTAACCCAATGAACAAGGTTTCTTCATAACAGGAACTTCCAGCAGGAAAACACAGAGAACTTGAGAGGTGGGGGTGGAGGGGGGTGGTTAAAGAGGATGATTAAAGAGCAATAAAAGAAATAGGAAAAGGCATATGGAGCCACTTAGTGCAGCACCGGTGAGATCTTCCATTCTGTTCCCAAGTCTCCGGCTAGTAAAGTTGTCTTGAACATCACATCTAATTTAGGTGCAACTCACAATATATCCACTCTACTTAGGGGTCTTAGAGCGATTAAGTGATCTTTTAAATAAAATGCTTCTCTTTCTTCTTAAAGGTACTGCACTGGCTATTGACCCCAATTCCTGTTTCGAAGTCCAAATTCTGTCCTTCCTGAGACTCTCCATCTGTGGGGAGTTCCCTGGGCTCTGAACCTCCAGGTCGGCCACGTGGAGAGCGGACCTGCCTGGATGGGACCGCTGACCTGAACCCAGAGCTCAGGGACCCAGCCCACCTCTGCCGATGGGAAGCGGCTCATTTCAGGCCTCCACCTTCTACTTTTTGACCCAAGATCAAGCTCTGTAATCTAAAAACGGGATACACTTTCTCCCTCTGGATTAGAACAATAAAGTTTCTTGCCTCCCTGGTCTAGCAGATGAGCCCTCCCTGCCTGCACTGTCCTCTCTCGAGTTACTGGGTTCCCATCCATGTGCTGTCCATGCCATCACACACCAACATGGTGCAATGGAGGATGTGTCTCTCCTAGAATGTCTCATTTCCAAGGGCCTCTCTTTAGGGTGGCCCTTGATGAATCCCTTCAGAATTTGGGCCGTAAATAAATAAATAACAAAAAGACACTAGCCACAGCACAGACTTAAGATTTCAGGTCTGAGGTCACATCTCTGTCACCTGCAAATTGATGCTGAGTTCTATGGAGGCCTATTCACTCTGGCCCAGCCTGCACCATAAAAATCCCTGAGAGCCAAGCGTATGAACAAGGCCTCCCAGACCTCTCTTTGGAACTGGTCTAAACCCCTTCGTGGGAACCCCCAGGCATTTCTCTCTGTTACAAATGAATAAGGGACCTGGCCTCTTTGCACTGGTCCTTTAACTGTCCATCCTTATAGCTGGGAAGGACAGAAAGTCAGCCTCCCCCATAGCACACAGAACATCCCTGGTCCCCTCACCTTAGACGCCAGGATAAACAAGGAAAGGGTACTGGAAATACAGAAACAGATGTCCACCAAAGGTCGTGCTGGAGTTTGGAGTAAATAGGACAGGACCGGGGTAGAGCGGACTGAACAGCACACGCGGGTGGAGTGGTAGGCCTCGGGGTGATCTCAGCACCGATCTGCCAAAGAAAGAGCAGAGCGCAAGCTATGCAGAGTCGTGATGTGGTGTGGTTACCTACAGTCATGAGTGGAAAAGTGACTGCATGGGAAAGGCCCAAGATAAACCTCTAACTGGGCTTAAATAAGTTATGGCTGGACCGGCCAGGGGCTCTGAAACTATGGATTTGGTCACACGCAGCTTGTCGAGGATAAGGCAGATGGAGATACCTGCACAGAGCATTCGGGGTGGAAGCATCAGATGTGACAGGCCAAGGCTTGGTTGACCAGAGGCCCGGAGAGGACCACAAAGCAGGGTCCGGCCTCCAGGGCTTGGCCCAGTGAGTCCCGGAGTTAAGTGCCCATGGCTGTCAGTCCATCCTTGACCAGTACCTGCCGTATCCCTGACCTCTATCCTCCAGCAACTTCAGGACCAGTCCCTGTCTGGTCCCATGTGCCTGAGTCCCTGTTATAGTTGCCTGGACCCCTGCTCCCGAGTCCTCTGTGATGGCGTGTGGGCTGCTATCTACTGAGAGCTCTGATGCCCATCGAGTCTTCCCCTCCGACCTTCTGAGCTTCAGCTGCTCCTGAATTTCCCATCATCTCCGGGTTCCACCTCATCATTATAACATACCTGTTACTTCCAGGAGACTTTAGACAACCCCCACCCCCAGGCACCCACCTGCTTATCTCCATCTGTTACCATCCCTGCAGACACTCTGCCAGCTAGACTGCTTTCCTCCAGGAAAATCTAGGTTCAAGGCCTGCTGCCCTCCTATGAATCACCACACTTGGCTGTCGTTGACTCCCCCGTAATAGCTCTGTACCAGCTCTGAGAAACTATAAGTACAGCCTTCTAGACCTTACAGGGCTTGTCAAGGTAGATTTTGGTCCTTCAGGTTACAAGCTCAATCTTTATCTTATAAAGAATCTTCCGTGCATGCAACAGGACTTAGATCCTTTGGGAGTTGGGATTGGAAGGAACAAAATTCCAAAATGTCATAGGCTGGGTGACTTGTAAACAACAAGCATTTATTTCTCACAGTTTTGGAGTCTGGGAAGTCCAAGATACAGGCACCAGCAAATTTGGTGTCTGGTGAGGGTCCACTTCCTTGTTCATGGACAGCTGTCTTCTCACGGTGTCCTAATAAGGTGGGAGGGACAAGGGAGCACTCTAGGGCCTCTATTCTAAGGGACTAATCTCATTACATTGGGGATTAGCTTTCAACATATGAATTTTAGGGAGACATAAACATTCTAGTCTACAGCATCACCCTACTGATGACCATTGTTAACGTTTATCCTTGAGTTCACCTAATCCATCACTCAATGAAATTTACCATATGTGACTCTCAAACCAGTGCCCATCATCCTGACCCAAACGCATTCCATGTGTATCAAGACCACGTGCCTTCTGTTTAAAATACAATCACACTGATGTTCACAACAGACTGTTTCCTCTATCTGTGATTGAGGAACTCAAGCTTCTTGCTAAGTCCTTTGCGCTAATCTTGGAGTGTCCCTGGAAGGGCCTAGGGAGTAGCTAAGAATTAGCTCACTCATCTTCTAAGCGGGGAAATCTTTTACTCTCTCTCTTTTTTTTTTTTTCTTTTTTCCTGTCTTGGCACAGCTGTTGTTATTGACCTCTGCCGACATCTCCAACGCTGCCTCTTAGGACTGGGCCGAGGGGACTGGGAACCCACAGCCTGCTGTGCTCACAGCTGAGCCATCCCCACCACCTGCCGCTCCCCCACTGACCACACGCCCTGGGCAGATGCCTCCGTCTCAGCCTCAGCAGCCAGAGGAACTTGGGCCTCTGGACTCATCTTGAAATAGGAAACTGTGTCTCTCCCGTCGCTTTGGTGTCGGTCGTTCACGCTGCTGCAACGTATGCGCTGGTTCCTTAGTGAAAAACAGGCGTTTCTCTTCTGTGGCTTCCATTGTTTCTACTTACAGTCCCCACTCACCACTCTGGGGCCTGGAGCATGAGTCCTTTGGACACTGGACTGGGGACAAATCTGAGCCCAAGTCATCACAGCGCGCTCGGCATTGCTCCTCCCGTCTAGGACTTGTTGGGTACGACCGTATCCCAGCTCCCTCTCTCCTGAGCTTTCAATCTCCCTTGGCTCTGTCCTTATCTTCCTGCAGACATGCACTGGAAGGATCATCAGAGGTCCTTGATCATGTCTACAGCCCAGCTGGGAACTGCACAAAACCCTCCCTCCAAGAAATCTCTGAGATTCTTGCAAAAATTCCACCCTTGCCCAGGAGGCCCTTCTCAGAAAGGAGGCCCAAGACAGAGGTCAAATTCCCTGCCTCCCAGTTCAGAGAAAGATGCTCCAATGACATGTTTCCTTGTAGGGGGAGTCTTGCTCCCTTCACTAGCCCCACCCCTTCCACCCTAGATGGAGGCACTCCTAACTGTCCTCATCACGCCTGCCTCTCCGCAGCCTCGGGGGAGAGCCGACTGGCCCCGAGCCCCAGGTCTGCGTGGGCTGGCTCACCAGCCGAGGCTAGTGGCTGCTCAGTGCTCATTCTCTGGCTCCCTGCCCACTCCATGCTCTCAGCTTCCCCAGGGGTCAGGAGTGGGGCCCATTATCCTGCCAGGAATGTGCTCCTTCTCTTCCTGCTGCTGCCTGGGGTAGAGAGACCGTCCCCACAGTTTAAGCTGTATCTGGGCAGTTATTCCTATGGGGCATCTTCATCGGCCTCGTCAGTTTTGGGGATGCTTTTCATCCAGGCAGTGCCCCCAGCCCTCCTCCTGGAGCTGACCTGCTGCTGATGGTGGACCCTCGTCCCTCCACAGCACTCGGCCCCTGGCCTGGCTCCGGGCATGTGGGGCTGGAGCACTAGCCTTTCAACGCCGCTCTGGGTTTCCTACAGCAAGGGCCAACTTGAGGTGTTTCCTAAGACTGCCACAGACTGGGTGGGCCTTCTTTGTATTCAGTTGTGTTCTACATTTTAAAAATATATAAACGTTTTTAGTGAGGTATAGCATACAGTAAAGCACACAGATTTTAAGTACAATGAATTTTTACATATATACACCCATATAGCCATCACCTAGATGGAGATGTAGAACATTCCCTACACCCTAGAGGGTTCCTTCATGCTACTCCCAGACATACCCTCCCCCAAGCCTCACCCCAAGGGAGTAGAAAGGGACATTGATGGAATCTGAGGAGCTCTTAGCAAAAATCAAATACACCCTGGCAAGACCCATAGAGTGAGGGCCAGCTTCAGACTGTAGAGGGCTGGTGACTACCCCAGGATTCTCCCTATTATAGCCATCAGTCGGGGCAAACAGGAGAATAAGGAGGCTCCCAAAGGTAATTAACAAGAGGACAGGATGCTTGTCCATTGACCAGGCACCATGTGCCTGAGGCCGTGCCCTGATGGGTGAGGCAAAGGTAACTTTTCAGAGGAAGGTTGAGAGGTGGGCTGCATCATTAGAGGTAGTGAGGTGTGTCACTTCACTAGGTCACATGCTACAGCATGAGCAGAAGGGACCCATGCCAGGGGACCCTTCACCAGTGGTTAAAAGGAAACAGGCTCACCACCTTACAGTGGGGTAGACCCCTAGATGGCCAAACCCCAAGAAATCCTTGATTCAGTTCCTGTATGTGTCCTGAGCCCTTCACATCAGAGTTTCTGCAACCTCACACATGGTTCCTGAGGGAGCAGCAGGGCATGGTGTCTGGACTAATAAAAGGAATAGCAGGCTAAGCAGAGCTAGACAGTGGGCTCCAAGTACCATTTATTTCTCAGTCATTCTGTGAGTGGCACGCAGCGCTGCCTTTCTACGGCACGTGTGCAGCAATGCGGTGAGCCCAGAATTTCCAAAGGAGTTGTAGGGGTAAGAGAAATAGAGGCAGTAGTGTTGGGGTGGACCCAGATCCTGGGGTATGTGTGCCAGTTGGACTAACTCCACCTCTTTCAGGTGTATTTGTAAGGAATGCTTTTTAGCTGCAAATAAAGAAAAGACAGTCACAGTGACTTAAGCAGATAGGGCTTGATCTGTATCATGTGAGTCCAGGGAAAGAAAATCCCAGCTGGTGCTGCACTAGAATGATGTAATCAGGCATCCTAGCTCTTTCTTTCTTTCCTGAACTTTCCTCTCCAGGACTGCTACCTGGTGGTCCCCAAATGGCAGGCACATCTCCTGGCATCAGCATCATGTCCACATTGAGAGGAGGACAATAGGAAAGGACAAAGGGCAGAGCTGCATGTGACACCTGAGTCAGTCCCTCTTCTTCCTGGAAGCCCCACTCAGCAGACTTCCACTTAGAGCTCACTGAGCAGAAGTGAGGATTTACGACAC